TTCGCCCTCTAACAGCGGGTAAGCATGTTTTTTTTAAGTAGACTGAGGAGAGGCTTTGAGAGTTATGGCCGCGCAGACGATGGGACTCGGGAGGACGACGGCGGCCGGACCCTTCCAATGGCTCGTCCCGTGGAAAAGGAAGTTATTACAGGATTTGTGGTTTGCTTCTGCCTGAGTGCGAAGATGGAGAAGATAAAACAATCCCGATGATTGTGCATGGTTGCCGGACTGCAAGAGGAAATGCTCTCCGTAGTTGTTCCTAAGTTTGCTGTAGCCCCATTTTATGTAAATACCCTTGTTCGTAGATACAATTGCATGTAGAACCTTTGATTACACAAGTCATAATCTTTATCCTATGACAGGAGGGGCAGAAAAAGGTAAAGTGTCACGAGAAATTAAAGCTGAAATCTTGGTTCTTGTTACGACAGAGATGGAGGGAAATGAACACTGAGCATAATAGGTTGTCTATAACACCCTCACACAGCTAGAGTTCTTAATGTCTGTTTTCTGTGAGTTGGCATGAAGTGCTAATAAAGCATAACCCCCCCCCCCCCACGTATAGGGAATAAATAGAAGGTAGGAAAGGATAGGTTTGAATTTTGGGTCTCTTGAGGGTGCGTTACTCTTGGTAATAAATATTAATATTTTTAGGAAGTGAAAATGTAAGACAATTCTTCAACAAATATGGGAGTAGAACTAACATTATGATGACATATGGTTTACATTTACAATGGAAAAGGACTTTTCGTTGCTTCAGTAAGGGTAGTAGGATTTTTACACCAGCTAATTTGATAGGCCTAACTTGTAAAGCATGGAAATTAAGCCATGTTATTGTATGATTTTTTTTTTTTAATAGCCAATTGGTAGCTGCTGTTTTTACCCCCAAGTTGCTGAATTTAATTTATACCATATAACTTGATGTTAAAACTTCCACAATTTTTTTTTCTTCCAAGCTTAGAGGAAGGAACAAAACAAGTGGAGGGAACATATTCATATCTATCATAAATATTTTAGACAACTTCCACACCTTAAGACACTCTAGTAATGGGGGAAATTCTGTGCTCATTTTTAAATATTTTTGCAAAATGTCCGTTACTATACTGTATGGGCATGGCATGTATGTACATGTTTAATTAGTAATGCATGGCAGTTAATTATCCATGAGATCATTTACAGTATTTATCAGAGGAAAGAGAGGAGATTGCATTCAATTTAATTTTGCAATAATATTGTCACCAAAATCTGTTTTTTGGTAGCCAGATAAAATGCATAATAGCAGCTGGTAAAGGTTGCAAATTGTGAATTCATCAAATGTGAGGGTTTACTGTAGTATTTACTTCAGTAGTTTCTGTTCAGATGCTTTTAAAATTTTAGTATTTTACTTGTTAAATTGTTTTGGTATACATTTTTTGGTGTGCATACAGTACAGTTTATAGTCTTTATTTTTCTAACAATACACTTACTTTCCTGTATGACAGAGAATGTTGTTTCAAATGTCTTGGTAAGTGATTTTCAGCAGTTGGAAAAAAAAGTAAATTTTTAAATATTTTTTATGGAATATTTTGGGCAACAATCTACTTTTGACTCTGATTTATTGCTTTTCACTCTATTGAAAAAAAAGTATGTTTTAACAGCTTAATTTTTGTTAATATAATGATTATTTTAAGAATGTGTGATCTATTGCATTTATTTCCTTCAGATAAATAGAAAAAGGAATACAACCAAGAACAAGTACTGATTAAATGCAAATAGTTTTGTTGAGGTAATCAGTTGATCATATGTTTTAGAAATGCTTCAGCTTTCATAACCAGTTCAGCTTAAAAATGTTGAGTTTCACAAGTTTGTATGAAATGTAGGCCCTTTAATAACACACATTTCCTATATTCATTAATGGTTTGGATATGTAGGTGTTCATTCTTTTTGTGCATTTCAGATTCTTCAGCTTCACCATGTCACTAGCTGAGTCCCAGAGTAACGGTGAAGCAGGTGTGGTTAACCCTCGACCAGAAAAGGCGCACACGAATGAAGCTCAGAATGGTACTACTAATGGTTTTGAAAATGGAAATGAGCCTGTAAGTTCAAAGTATTTCTCACTTATTGACCCATGTTTGTCAGAAAACTTTTAAGAAGTCATTGCAAAACATTAATTTATAAACTATATGGTTCAGATATTTTACAAGATAAAATACTATATGAGAACTTTACTTTTAATATTCTCCTGCTCTTCATTTATCATATCCACCTCTGAATCTCATTTTATTTCCTCGTTTCTGTTTTTTTTTGTTTTTTTTTTCCCCCTTTCCTCTGCAGCCTCTTTATCCCCGTACTCATCCTTATCTCCTCCTACACTTCCTCTTTGCATTGCTTCTTTGTTTCACTTCACAGGAAACATTTCATTTACAGGCTATGAGGCATGATGAGCACCAGTACTTGGACCTGATCAGACAGATAATGAGGACAGGCAACAGGAAGGGAGATAGGACTGGCACTGGCACTATTTCCATATTTGGTGCCCAGATGAGATATTCACTTCGAGATGGTAAGGAGATTCTTTTATCTACCATAGTTCTCATTGATTATTTCTGTTACTTTTAGCTATTGCCTTTCACTTTGTCATTTTCTCTTCATCCTCCCTCTTGTTCCCTTCCTCCTCTTGCTTTTCCTATTCTCCCTCTGTCTCTCCTCCCTTACTTATTTTATCCTCTATCTCTTCCCTTTTCTCCTTTTCTCCATCTTTTCTCCTTCTTTTCTCCATCTTTTCTCCTTCGTTTTCTTCTCCTTCGTTTTCTTCTCCTTCGTTTTCTTCTCCTTCGTTTTCTTCTCCTTTGTTTTCTTCTTTACTCTTTTCCTGTTCTGCCTTTTCCATTCCTCTGATCTGTTCTAAGCTGCAAATCTGTTAGTGTTTAAAAAAACAACAAAAAAAAAACAGTAAATGATAACCAGATATGTTTTCTTTTATAAGGTATTGATGTTAATGACTTGCCCTTTTGAAGAGTGTTTTCATTGCTATTCCCATGGGTATTCAAAGAGTGACAAGTTATAGGCTAGCTTTCTATTTCCATTATGAAGAAATGCTTATGTATTTGTTTTCTATTCATGTACTTGGTAAAATATAAACAGTAAAGTAAAGGGAGGAAAGTAGGTGTTTGGATAAAAGTAACTAGGAGAGAAGTAGCAATGTTCCAGCTTATTTGAATCCCTAGTAAGTTCCAACAAGACAGTCTAAACTGCACTATGACATAAATTATTACTGCATAGCATATCCTAAAGGTTTTTTTTGGAGGCAAAAGTTCAAGTAGCCGTTGCTGTTAATAATACTGAATTAAACAAAATTAGATGGTGGTGAAGTACTGAACTATTATTTGTGTTTCAGGTATCTTCCCTCTTCTAACTACCAAGCGCGTGTTCTGGCGAGGGGTAGCTGAAGAGCTGCTATGGTTTGTAAGAGGTTCCACCAATGCTAAAGAACTACAGGAGAAGGACATTCACATTTGGGATGGGAATTCCTCCAAGGAATTTTTAAACAAGATGGGATTCCATGATAGAGAGGAAGGGGATCTTGGTCCAGTATACGGGTTTCCAGTGGCGACACTATGGGGCTTCCTATACGGACATGCACTCTGACTATACTGGTCAAGGTGTGGATCAGCTTCAGCAGGTTGGTATTCATTTATCTTTTGCTTTTATGATCACTTACACTATGCCTGTGTCAAAAGCCTTCAGTTTTGGTGGAAAGGGGAAGGAGAAATATTCAAATGTATTTCATAAGAGAAGTATTTTTTTGATTGGGTTAAATTGGGTGCAAAAAGTGGATTTCTTCGTAGCACTGATTCATGTAGCTTTAAAGTGAACTGGTGATATAAGTATGGGGATTTCATCACAAAATGTGAGACAATCGTGAACTTGAACATAATTCTCTGATACTCTTTCCTTTTTGTTTTTTTATTAGGTAATAGATACCATCAAAAATAACCCAGATGATCGCCGTATCATCATGTGCGCTTGGAACCCAGTAGATGTACCCAAGATGGCCCTTCCTCCATGTCACTGCTTGTGCCAGTTCTATGTAGCAAATGGGGAACTTTCTTGTCAGCTATATCAGCGTTCAGCTGATATGGGTCTTGGTGTTCCCTTCAATATTGCCAGCTATGCACTTCTCACGTACATGATTGCTCATGTTACTAACCTGAAGGTAAGGTTTTGTATGTGTGCATGCATACATGTATGCGTGTATGCATATATATGTATGTATATATATATATATACATATATATATATGTATATATATATATATGTATTTGGTTATATGGAATTTATAGTATAAAAATGTATTTAATGGACTGAAACCCAGTAGTACTCTTAATATTATTTGAATTTTCATACCTAGATAAAATATTGGTATATTTAAGTGTAAATCAAATAGTTTAAATTAATTGATCATACTTAGAGAAAATAAATCACCAATATCCTTTTTGCACTGATAAAAAAAAAGAAGAACATTGTGTTATTTTGTGTGCCATCTATTACTACTGCTCACCAGAAGGTTTGTAAAATTGTATGAATTGATAGGTTGTCATCACATAGTTCAGAATTTATTCCTATCAATTGAAATGTGACATGTCCTGGACTGCTCAAGTGTTGGGGAATGAGAAAGCATCAGTGCTTATTTGTTTTCTAACCAGAATCGTTCTTGCCTTCTATAAGTTCTAATAAATGGACTTTATAAACAAAATAAAGTAGCTGGAATAATTTCTGGCTTCTATCTTAGAATTCAAAGTTTTTTTGTTATGTTCATGCAGGTGTATTAATTTGGGTTTAGTGTAGATTTCATAGTAATGTTAAGGCCCCTAGATCTCAGAACATGTCTTCAATATTGTAATTTTCATGTTCCACTAGCCTTTTCTGATTCTGTACCAGACTTAAATATGGGACTATCACCCATTTTACCAGGGCCAGGCATGCCTTTGGAGGAACTGGGCAAGCCAGGCCTTCAGTAATTTGGCAAGGTCCTTGGTAGTTTTGATTTTGAAGGCAGTGATTGGTGCACATTTTCTAGGATGGCCATAGATGTTTGAGGAAATATTGGTGTGCAATTAGAGTAACTTCATATATGCACTGAAGTCATTCTATATGCACCAAGCCTTGGGACTCTAATTGTGAAATCAAAATAAAAGGGTATTTTTAAAAATATATTCCATCTATTATATCGTATAGATTAGTTAATTACTTCAATAGGAAATGCTTATGAACAAGAAAAGTGCATGAAATACAGTATTTCATCTTAATAAATGACCAGAATCTGGAGTGCCCCAAAAATATGCAGGTTAAAATCTGGAGGGGGAAAGAGGGGGAGGGATATAGGCCTGTGAAATTTGTCCCTCTTAACCTAACCCACTTGGACTTCTTAGGCCAAGAGATTCTAAATAAAGAAGAGTAAATTTCTGTCATCTGTTTTGACTAGAAAAATGTTGTTCTTCATTGCCAGCTAGAAATGTTCTTATTATTTTTTGAGGGAAGGAGTGGGACAGTAATGATAAGCAATAAAAGATGTTAAGACCTTAATCAGCAGTGTGCAAGTAAGAATGAACAAAAAATGGGGAAAATGCTGTTCTCATTTTTATATTTGTTAATGAAATTTCTCTACACTAGATGGCTCTGCCTTACCTGATTTCACCTTTACTTGAATTGGCGGGAAAATGTATTTTTAGTAGTGTTACGAATATCGATGGTTATTTTTATTATAAACATTATAATTACTATAATGTTATAAACATTAATAACCGCAAAATAAGGTAACGCAAAATAATTTCGTAAATTAAAGAAAAGGGTAAACAGGTGAGACAGGCAGTACAAGTACAAGTGTAGCCATCTATGTGTGAAAACAATTAAACAAGTAAACTCACAGTGAGCCTGTCACTTATACGTGACGCCCAGCGCGAATGAGTTAAATACTTGAACATGTCTATGTAGTGATAGTCAAGTTAAATGTAAATTGAATATTTTTTCCTGAGTAGCATAACGTAAAGGATTCTGTGATCTTCCAAATGTAAAGCAATATTTGTGTCACAATATTACTTGTCTGATTTATATAACAAAGATAAAAAGCTCAGGTAAAAAATGTCATAGGTCATCTTAGAGACAGAATGCCATTGGTGGAAGGGAAGTTGGCTGTGATGGAGACGTTACTGAGGTTGTGTGGGGATGATAGTAATATTAGAAATATTGTAATTATTGTTGCTTAGTTTTGCAGAATTCATAGATTTTACACTAATACTTACTATCCTTACAGCCTGGTGACTTTGTACACACATTGGGAGATGCTCATGTTTACTCTAACCACTGTGAAGCTTTGGAGGAACAACTCAAGAGGGAGCCTCGACCATTCCCCTCCCTAAAGATCAAGAGGAAAGTGGAGAACATAAGTGATTTCCAGTTTGAGGACTTTGAGCTTGAGGGCTATAAACCCCATCCAAAGATCAAAATGGAAATGGCTGTGTGATACTATAATAAAATTGACTTCCAACAATTAGGCTCCAATAACAAACATGAATTTGTACATTCCAGGTATAGACCTGTTACCTCACGGCCATTTTTACTGTGAGTTTACTTTATTAAACTTGTTTACATGTAAATTGTTCCATAGCCAAGGAATAAATTACTAGTTATACCTAATCTCCCCTTTTTACCCTGTTTCTTGAATTTTTTGGTAAGGCAAGTTTATTACTATAAAGGATTTTGAAGTTGTTATAATAAGGATAATATCAACAATAATAACCCTAATTATGATGGTAATAGCTAGATATTTTTTTTCTCCCAAATATGTGAGTGGGCAGTGCATGTACCCACCATCAATGAGTTGACTGTATAGCCTCAGGTATTCCTATTCTTTGTACACATATGGGGCTGCTGTCATGTCTCAGTAGTACAAAATATACCTGGTAGGTGATAATCTTATATTGTAACCAAAGATACAAAGAGGTGTCAGCATTTAAAATACCATGAAAATTTATATTTACCATGACTATATATATGTTGATCCTAAGCTTGACACTAATGATCTATTCAGAATTTTAGTGTATAATTCTTTCTGATTATAATTACTATTTTGCTATCAAGGTATGATAGATAATGTTTTTATTATTATTTTTTTAGATTATAAGTTTTTATACTTTTGAATTTTATAATAAAGTGATAATGATACTTGATTTTTTCTGTCATTGAGTTCATGTTAACTTATGATTTAAATATGTAAAGGACTATTCTGAAGAGAAATTGACAAACTGAAGTAAATCTCTAATATGAATCAGTACAAGAGCAAATGACTTTGCATATTTTTAGCATATATTCAGAACAACTAAACAGCAAAGAAATAAGAGTACAGTGTATTATGGTCTCATGGCCTAAGTCTAAAGTGATACCAACCCCCCTAAGGGCCTTGCTCATTGTTGCCATGCGGGGGTTTAGGAGGCAGAGACCAAGTCAATGTAGGGATCACCCCTA